TGATGTTAAATTTTCCTTAGTGTATTTTTAATTATTGTATTCTTCAGCTCTGTGACTTTTATTTTGTACTTTCTTACATTTTCTATGTGTTGAAGTTCTCATTGTGTTCTCCTGAGTTAAAGGAGCATCTTTATGATCATTACTTTGAACTCTTTATCAGGTAAATTACTTATCTCCATTTCATGAAGATTTTTTCTGAGGTTCTATCTTGTTCTTTTGGGGGGAACATATTCCTTTATTTTGCTTTTTTCTCTGTGCTGGTTTCTGTGCATGAGATGTAATAGCCCTCCTTCTCAGTCTTAAAGGAGGGGTCTTGTGTAGGAAATGAACCATATCGTTCATCTGTGCCCTAGCTCTTGGTTTTCTCTGACACATTTGTGATTGTTCAAGCAGCCTATTTTATTTTTAATAGCTCAAAGTAGTTGCACGTGTGCAAGACCTGTCAGCATCCCAAATAGGAGGAACTCACCAAGGACTTAGATTCAGGCTGATTGGAAGCTCTTAAATTATGCTGCAGCTCTTAAATTATGCAGATTTATACTGTCTGGTGGGATCATAGTTTTATGCCAATTTGGCCTCCAAAACCAAGTGTTCTGGAGATGTGCTCTGAATGGAAGTTGCAAAAATCAGGGCTCCAGACAAGTAAAATAGTTCTTTTCTGGAAGTTACCAGTGAGCTATAGTGAGGCAGGGGGAGAAAACTGAGCTGGTGTTCACCAGCCTATGTTCCCTGAGAGTATGTCCATAGGACTCAGGTCCTATGCCCCTCAGGTCAAAGATCCAGGGCAAGCAAATACGCCTCTATCACAGAAAGAATGGGAGTGTTTCAGTCTCTTGTTTGTGCAGTGTCCTCGGCATGGTAGTCTGCCAAGAACTGTCACTCTGATTGTTAGAGTCTCATGAGACTCAGGAGCACAAGGCCCTCTGGCCTCTAGAGCCAGGTGAGGGGTATCCCCTGGGAATCATCCTCTAAACCCAGGGCATCAGGTATAAAAACTGAATTATTAAATTCATGTGAAACTCCATTATGGAAGATAGTGGTTTTTCTTAGCACTGCAGAGGGAGAGTGTGAAATCGGCATCTTCTGGCTGGAATGGGGCAGAGGAGGTGCATAAGCATGGTGCTCATGGAGGGAGGGGGAGGTGGCACCCACCTGCTGGAACAGGGCAGAGGAAGAGTGTGAAGATGGTGTCACCAGCCTCTGTCCCACAAAAGTATCCCAGCAGGCGCCTATATGTGTACTAAATGAGATGCCTGCACCTCAGTCTGACATTTTAAAGTTAGCAAATGAGCCTCTTTCATATACAGTCTGGGTGCCTCTTGTTCTGCTGCTTCTGTACCTAACCCTGGGGGAGGTGAGCCTGAGCATGTGAGCCCTTTAACAGAGTCATTTCTCAGTTTTTCTGTGCCCTTGTGGGTCTCATGGAATTGATCAGCTAGTTTTTAGTTTATTCAGAGAAAATTGTTCCTTATGCTGCTGTAGATTTGAAGTGTGTGTGGGAGAAGTTGAGTTCAGGATCTTCCTATGTTGCCATCTTCAACTGGAACCAGAGCTAAATATTCATTAATAACACAGCAAATATAAATAATACAGAAAAATAACACATTTCAGCAAGAAATTATTTGTAGAAGAAATTTCTGAATCCTAGTGACTCAACTGCCCACTGAGTTGGTTACTCCACTGATACCCCTCCTTATACTTCTAGAAACATGCTACATGTGTACTGGTGGCAGGCTGGGGTGGGAAGGGAATGGGGATGGGCAAAAGGAAGTGGCTGACTATCAATACAGATAATTCTCACAATCTTATAGGACCTTTAATTTTAAATGATTATTCAGATATCTATGGAAAAATGTGCAACACTAACGTATGTTAATATTTCAAAAAGTTTCGGAAGAAAGAAAATTTTTAGAATCCTGCTCCCTGGTCTCTATCAAAATCTGAAGATATTTAATACTTTCTCACAATCCAGATTTCTATTTTAAGACAGTTCCTCAGAAGTCTCCAATAACTAAATTCTCCTCTTTAATATTTAGGAGGTGGAGTTTATAAAATGACCCACCACTTATTTCCTATCCTTTCATGTAGACCCATCTTTTCATAATGACCATAGTCCTCAACTATGTAGACTGATTCTGGGGAATATCTCCAGTGTTAATATCTCTTACTTGCCCCTGACCTATCTGCTACTTTACATGCAGTAAATATGAATATTTGTCATGAATATTGTCAAGCAGATCAAAGAACACATTCTAGAAAATTTAGAGAGTATAAAGTTAGTACTATCTCACCCTCTACTCTGCCATATAGATAGTTCTATTACCATCTGAAAATAGCATTTACAAGTTCAACAGTCAAATGACAGAACTTAGTAGAATATTTATAGCAAATTTTAAAGTCTGATGGATTTCTTCTCATCTCAGTATGCTTATATAGCTTTGTTCTCTTAAGTTATTCTGCTGATATATCAAACTATTACCAGCAACAGGTCAAATAAAACTGTTACACAGTGGTCCAATTTCAGTATGACTTAAATCAGGGCTTTTTCAATTTCTTGCGTATAGAAATCGCTTTGGTATCCTATTAAAATACAGATTCTGATTCAGTAGATCTGGGTTAGCATCTGAGATTCTGCATTTTTAACAAGTTCACAGGTTATGCTGAGGCACCCGACTCAGATTTCACACAATTAAAGAAACAAAACTTTAAAACATTTATGTTTTCCTAGCTATGTCACAGTTCTCCTTCATGAGTGTGTAGAATGGAACATTTCTGAAGTATGTACACATAAGCTTACTAGCATCTGAGAACAGTTGGGAAAAGAAAATGGAAGTTAATATGTCAATAACTCGTAGACAAAAACAGCTAATATACAATTATAGTAGCAATATCAAACAATATTGAAGTCAAGCACATTCAAAAATTATAAATGAAAAGCAAATCATTTATCTAATAAAGTTTTTATTTTCACAAATATTTAAAAACGTAGCTTCCTTTGAGCCAGGAAAGGAAAAAGCAGAGTATGCCTATATGTATTGGATACAGATATTCAACACTGACTCATTCTTAGTTCATTAGCTCAGCTCACTGCAAATAACTCAGAAAAACAATCATAGGTAGTTCTGTTAGTGTATGCAGAAAAGGGTAAGGGACAGTGATCGTTTAAGTGGAGTGAGTGGAGTGGTTATTTAGAGTTGTAGACGGGCCAGAAGAGGCAGACAAAGAGAGAGCAGCCACAGTGTCTCTAATACATTGAACTTCATCCGGAAACACTGAACTGACAGGTGGAACACAGCTGCAACAAACTCGAGCTCCAAAGATAATTAATGTGTAGCTCAGACATTGAAAATGGGTTAAGATTGACAGATTATTTCACATGTAAAAATCCAAATACAAATATCCAGCACTTTCACAAGAACAAATTTTCAGGGATAACCAATTTGCCTTATTAGTACATTTTTTTCCTGAAATGATACCCCCTTTTCTTCTCTTTTTCTGAGAACTGAAAACTGTATAGCTCTTTTCATGTACTTGTCAGCAACAGTAAGCCTTCACCCGTTTTAAGATGCTATAGATTCTCTAACTTATGTTAACTCTTTTGCATATGCTATACATTTTCAAACTTAAGTTTTGAACAACTATAGTTTTGTGGTGATTAAACATACCTTGGAATGAAAATGTGCCACTTTACAAAATGGTGCAAGTTTTCTATGGAATAAAACATACAAATTCATTCACGTGTACAATGACACTTTCTCTAAGTCAAACAAGTCACGTTTAACACATTCCCAAAAGCGCCCACTCCCAATTCAGCATACGCACATGCACATGGAAACACACACACATCCAAATCCATTTTTTATATGAAAAATCTATCTCCCATTTATTAAATGAAGTATTATTTTTTTCTACTGGGTATTTTTAATGTATTTCACTTATCTTTGAGTATGAATTATCCTTCCTCATACATAATATATAGAATTTAGAGAAAACATGGTGAGGAATGGTAAAGATTAGAATATTCATGTATTTAGTTATAGACACATAAATCAAAGCCTTTTTCCTGATATCTATATACTATGAGATGCATTTTTGTATGAAGATTTAAAATTGATTGGTTATACAGTTCTGCCATGAGGTGGATATGTAATTTCTCAACCAGTTCTTCTGAACAGTTTCTACTTTACATCATTCAGCCCTACTTAGTTTAAGATTGAAAGAAGTATCCTTTATATTCCTCCTAGATCAACATGTCCGCAAATATCCTAATATGGCGAAAGTAGACTCAAGTATCAGAAGAGGATGTTTAGGATCTCATATGTCCATATCTTAGGGGGATACTTTTTTTCTGTTCCCAATAAATGAGAGGACATTATTACATCAGTATGTTTTGAGTATCTTCAAGATTTTCCAACAATCCTTCCAAACTGGTGGTATCTTAGTTTGGGGTTTTCAGTATTTACCCTGGCAGCTAGCATGAGGAGATTAATTATTCTTGATTTTAGTATCTAGACAAACCAGTTACTAATAATTTATCCTAGAAACCTCTGTGTGTAAACATAGGCAGAATGTGATCCATCTTCTCTTTCTATGGGGGGCCTTTTTAGGGGGCCTAGTGCTCTCTGCCATAAGTGAACCCCTGCTAAAGAAAGCAGGGTTACCTAACAATATGTCTTCTAATAAAAAGGAAATATACTTCATAGTCTAGAATTTAAATACTGTAACTCTAAAGCATGACCAAGTATCTTTTTATTTCCTTTTCCCCCAACTGGCTCAAAAAATTAGCAAAGGAAAAAGTGGTCAAGATTGAATTCAGAAATGTTTCATGAGGAAATATAGATGCATAAAGAAATAAAAATTCAGATAGAATTCATCGGTCAGAAAACCAGAGTAAATGTTTTGTGACACAACAGGAACTGGACAAAAGCACAGGAATTTAAGGAGCAACATTTTTTAATGTTTGAAACCAGTCTTTCTGAGGCGACTATGAAAGCAAGAATTATTACAAAAAATAACTATGAATGGACATTCTACTCTTTGTAATCTCCCACACAATAATTTCTTTATTATCATTTACATCTCTTAATACTAGCACAGCATTCTGAAGTTGCCAAGCATAAGTTATATGCAACTGAGTGAAAAGATCAAAATCTACTCAGATTTCCAGAAGAGCTGCAGAATGTGGAAAATGACAAAGTCCCTAAACATGTTCATTTGCATTATCACTGACAAAAATGTGAGCCATATTGTTATAAAGAGCGTGGTGATAAGGCTTGCTCATGCTGTGTGAAGGATTTAATAGAGAAAGAAAATTAAATAATGTTTAATAAATGGTTCATAGGCCAGTCATTTAGTTTCCATTCTTAAATGTCTTTCAAAATAGTTGATACTCATGAAATGCAATGTCCTGACAGTCCTGGGGTCTTTGTATTGCAGGGGCACTGATGAGGGTAGTGATGTTTTCCCTTTGATGAGGAAGACAAGAGTTCAGGGTCCAGGATTTGTTTAGAACATCCACCCATCTGCTGAATTTAGCAAACTGGAACCAATCAGTGAATCAGTACCAAATAAAAATAACTGGATAATGCTGAAGCCACATCTGTAGAAACTGAAATCCATTCCATTGTGAACATGTTGAATTTTAAAAGGTGCTGTTTTATTCAAAGTATGGATTTTAATGACATCTTAATAATCCTTTAGAAATGTGCTGCTTCTCAGTACAAAAAAAAAAAAAAAAGTGCCACCAGTTCTTCAACTATAAGATAAGGTGTGTTTTGCAAACATAAAGCATATTAAATCTTTATTTTGTAGGTCGATATTAAGAAAGATCCTGATGTAGCTGGTGCATAAATGTAAAGACTCATTTGCTTCCTGGAAAGCAGAAGAAAGGTAAGTACTTATCAAAAACTCGTGGAAAAATAAAGCAGGTAATATTCAAATTCTAATTACTGCAGATGTCATGTTTTCTAGTAATTAGCCCAATTTCTCAAGCTGCAGAAAAAATTCTCTGATGAACTTCATGGATAAGGCAATTATTTTCCCATTCCAGGATACATGGAAGGCTGCTTCCCAGCTCTCAAGAGCTGCGTGTGGCCAGATAAGGAGGGGTAGCTCGTTAAATCTGCTCTGGATGAGCATTTCCACTCTTTGCTGTCCCTTCAGACCATCCTCCATTTAGCGGTGTATATACTACTACTTTCGAAAGGACTATTGGCTTACTCTCTTTGTGATCCATTGAGCAAAATCACACCTTAGCTCCACCATCTTTGCTTTACTCCCTCTTGTACATCCATCTCTTTATTTTTCAATTGTTTATAAATCTTCTCAAAGGCATAATTATTATAATATTCAAAACTGAAGCTTCTTTAAGGAAATCTATATCTGTAATTCTTCTAAATCTAGTAAATCAAGTAATCTACAGAGAACAGTGTTCTTCTCTATTTGTAAAGAAAAAAGACGTATTGTTGTGTAAAGAGCAGTAGCTTTTCCCTGTAACAGTCAGATGTTAAGCCAAACCAATATACTTGTTGACAAAGGCACTCTAGAAAGTTTTCAGTCTTTCACCTTAATAGAGCCATGTACAGACCCAAGATAATTGGCATTCAGGGCTCATTAAGCACTGATGAAATTGTTCATGTAATTTCAGTAGAGAACTATACAGAAAAAATTTATGACTCATACTTCGTTTTGAAAAGCATATTTTCCCACTAGAAGAAGTTTTTGTTGTAATTTGGCTTATCAGTGGATGATCTTTTTGTCTATTGTATGTGTTCATATGAATTACTTTGTTTAATCATAACTTATTTGTTACTGGACTAATGACAGGTCTTAAAGGTGATGCAATATTTCCTTTATGTGTTATAATGTGAATATATTAGGTTAGCGTTTTGAATACCTATTCAAATGGATTGTAGGCAGAATTATTCAGTCCTCTTTTGAGTGAATAGTGACAGAAATAATCAGAACAAAAAATGGAGTTGCCTTCCTAGTCTCAAGCTCTCAATTTCATATCCAAAAAAATATTGTCCAAAAATTCCACTTCATTTTTCTTCATCTTCAGTTTGACTGATTCACACTGTGAAAATGGACAATTTTGCACAGTTTAAATTTATAACTTTCTGGGATGACTCCATAAGATAGAATGGATGCTAATGAATCCCTGATTATTGGAAACTCATGAAATATTATTACGGATTAGTTGTGATAAATCATGTAAAATATTTAGCATGATTTTGGCACATAATAAAAGCTCAGTAATTATCAGTGGCAGTTCCAGAATTTCTACATGACAGGTTACAGTCAACAGGCTGATTGGAAGTAGAACAAGAAGACTTTTGTTTTGAAGTTGTGATTTTTTCATACCAAGTATATTGCTTTTATTTTGATTGCGTTTATTTTTTGAGGTTCCTGGGAAGGGAGGGGGGACAGAAACTATGGGTAAGTGACAAATTCCCCCCCTACCCCCCACAGGCCATACCTATGCCAAGTATGATTAGTAAAGAAAGGCTTAGGGAAGATAGGGTCAGGCATTCATTCCTCTATGTACAAGGGGGCTTGTGCAGTAATACCTAAAACACAGAGGCCTGAAACACCTCTACAGTTTTGTCAAAACTCAAATCTGTCTACATTTAGCTGATTTTCCTGTAAACTCTGAGTAATTTGGTTTTACTGTGTGAACATTTTTGTCTTCTGTTTTCTTGTATTGTTGTATTCAGTTCTAGCTCCTGAATTGTAATAATTCATCAGGGCTTCCACACTAAACATCTAGAGTGCACACTGTGATTTTGGACAGCATGACTATATGCAACAATCCTGTTTCTATATTAATATGCTATCTTCATTTAAAAATAGCATATTTTTACCTAATTTTAGTTCTATCATTGATTGAGTTTTCATTTCTCATTAATTTCTAGCTTATTTAATTTTCCTTTTTATTTTCTTTTCTCTTGTAAATTCTAATTTCCCCAAATAGCTACCATTTTCAGTTTTACATAAACTTTCCTGGTCATTGATCCATTAAATTAATTATTTGTAATTTTAAAATAATTAACTAGCTAGAAATAATTAGGAAAAGAAAAGTTAGTACATATATAGCTTTTGTGCAACATTCTAACTTCGAAAGGTGACAATTTCATATCTTAGCCCATTCCTCCAATAATAAAGATGAAATATAGTGATCTGCTTGATATTAGTAGGCCTTATTACTCATTCAGGTTTCATTTATGTTTTAATTTACATTTAGTATCTCAAAACTTCGAGGATGTATTAACAATGATAGTTGGCCAGACATGTCCAGAAATATTTGCAGCCTAATTTATAACTCCTGTTTGATAAAATGGAAACAGTAATATATAAACTAACATTACTGAAGCCATATATATATTTTGTTATATACTTACTTATTCTACACTCTTCAATCTGCATGCACAGTATGAAATCATAAAAGCAGTAAACATCACCGCACCAACACTGATTAAGATCATTTCTACCAGGCCAAGGAGTTCTATTTTTCCAGTCACTTGATTTCTGAACATTTCTGCCTTCTCATCACCGATTGTTCCAGTCTGTAATCAAGTTAACAATTAGCATTATTTCAGTTGATTAGTGGAGCAAATTACTCAAAACTCTCCATTTATGTATCACTCTTTTTTCGAAACACTGCATAGATGTTAGTCATCTTTATCTATAAGAAAAGACAGTGTAATTCCCTTTTCATGTCAAAGAAGGCAGTAAATGCCAAGGTAGAATATTTAGAGAGAGAAATATAATCTTCCTTTGAAACATGTTATGTAGCCCTCTCCAATACACTGACTTCATTGATCTATACAAAGGTCTTACTGAAATATTTTCCAGTTTTCCAAAGGATGTTTCCTAGTGACAGAGGGAATTGGAAAGGCCAACAGTTTCTTTCCTCTGAAGACTTCTGTAGTGCATTTCCTCATTCTGTGGCTAATCAATTCTGTGATTTGTACTAAAAATATCTTGTTAGGCACTCGGATAGACTGCAGACACCTACTCTTACCTGGTCTTTATAAGTTTGGTTTGCTTTTATTAGCACTACAGTATTCACATTGAGTTACTTGGAGTTACGTGTATGTATGACTCTTTCCTAACACAAGCACTATGACAAGAAAAAGTGTTTACTAGTTGTATTATGAAAATAATGTAAAATTATAGGAAGTACTTCATCCTTCTGAAATAAAAACACTGAAAACTAACATAAACCTGATATTTCTGTGTGGCTTCGTTCTCTCAGAATAATTAATTATATAATTAATAATATATAAATTCACCTATATAGGTAATGGAAACACATACAACTTCAAATTCTATACATATGTATTCAATTTTCAAACACTAAAAGCTGTTTCTATATACAAGGAAGTTTACAGTTTTTGGTGACTAAGAGATAAGAATACTAACCTCATTAAGCCAAAGAACAGGCACCATATAATTCTGCTTCAGACCCTTTAATGCTCTGTAATAAACATTGAAAATAATTATAACAATATATACTAATATAATACCCATATATAACAGAAATGTTAGTAATTACTAGTGTAAATAAATGTTCAGAAATTAGTTGCTCTTAAACTTGCTAAGTTCCTTGATTTTTGTTCCTTGTAATGAATCATTTAAATATTACTATGGCTGTTTATCAGACATCTTTCACTCTTATAAATCTTTCTAATACATATTTCTAATTAGATTGACTTTTTCTAAGCATGTATTTTCCCTTTTGACAATTTATACCCAGGAAACTAAAATTGAATTTTAGAAACAATTGTCCTGGAAATATTTGGACAGCTAGCAAAATGAGAAACGCCATCATACACTAATTCCAGAATATGTGTAAATACAATTTCAATACACACTAGATATAATTCTAAATTACAGATGAAAGTTATAAACAGTAATTATTTCATGATATTAAGTCAAAGAAAAGTTGAAATTTTATATTATTTCCACTTAATTTCATACATATACTCACTTTCTGGCAAGAAAATACTAAAAATCATAATGAACCTGTTCAAGAGACTCACCCAATGCTTTTTCCTGGCTTAACCAGTACATTGATCTGCAGGCGTTTTGCAAATTGTAAAGTGAATCCAGTTATCTAAAAAGAGAACAAACTAAAATAATTACCAACTTCCTTTAAATAATTCATTTATAATATCTAAAACTTATTTTTACTGTTATATAGAACCTAAGGGAAAACTGTAGTACTTGAAACTTGTGAAATTTATTAAATAATTAATTAGACATATTAAATATTATGTACATAACTCTTCATAATTACATTTTATGTGTATATGCATGTGTGTATACAGACCTATACACACATGTATATATGCACACACACACAATTTCTTTGCCCAACCTACTGTCAAGGTGATATTTATCTGAATTGGTTTGGGGAATCAACAACAACAGCAGTGAAACTTAGAACTCATATAGTCAATTTAAATCCCAAATTATATATGGTCAAATATATATTCAGTCAGAACCCATGTGTCATCAGTATAATTATAATACTTCTATCATTAGTTAAAATTAAATGTGACTACTAAAATTCTGGCATGTCTGGCACAAACGTGCCATGTCTGGCACGTTTAACTTTTGAAAAGGAGAATATTAAAATAAATTAAAAGTTGAAACTGTTACACTATAGGAAATTTAATAGATTTTTCCTGACGCTAAGTATAATAGATCTTGCCTCAAATGCGCATATACCCATAAAATCTTTTAATCCCTCATGATCTACAGTGTCCCTTCATATAAGCAATACTTACAGTTAAGTATAAAATGACAGTAAAATTGTAATTTATACCAAATTGTTTTAAGCCAATTAGAATCATACCCATCATTACTATCCCTGACCTACAAACAATTAAAAAGGATTATAAAGTTCCATATGCTGAAAAAACTAAAATAGAATTACCTCGACATTTCATAAGCAACAACAGGAAGAAACCAATGAGATTTTCCTTGAAATAAAAGTAGGTAATTATATACACATTACTCTATGTAAAATAGGTAACTAACAAGGACCTACTATGTAGCACAGGGAACTATACTCAGTATTTTGTAATAACCTATAAGGGAAAAAAAATCTGAAAAAAATACATATAAATATAACTAAATCACTTTGCTGTACACCTGAAATTAACACAACATTGTAAATCAACTATACTTCAATAAAAAATTTTAAGTAATTTGTCAAGATTGTGATGCAGTAAATATCATCAATAAATGTGATTGACAGAAAGGCAAGAACTTAATTTTTCTTTCATTTAAAAAAATGCTAAACCAATCAGATCAATAATGTATTTGCTTACAGGTTCAACATCTAAGTACGTGCTATGTTCCTCTTCATTTGGACTTAAGCCTTCAACAGGTTCTGCAATTTCAGGACTTGCATGTAGAAAATGAGGAAGTGAAATGTACACAGGTTTTCCTGAAAACAAGTTTTAAGAGACAATTGGGATAAATCATTTTCCTCATTACGCGTAGCACTCAAAAGATTTCCTTGAAAATAGATTTTTAAGTTAAAAGAAATGCAAAGTTGGCTTTGAATACTAAATGGGGAATGAGGGTGAGGGAAAATTATTACATCTAATCACTTTTGAGCAAAAATAAAATATAAGCTTCTGCATCATCCTACTAACCATTCAGTTGATGTCTGTCATTTATCTCTTAGGTGTTTATTTTCAATATGTAAAGCTTAGCTGCTGAACACAAATTTACAACCACATACCTTCATGTTTTAGGGAGTAATATGTCTGTGGACTGAGAATTTAAGAGGCTTTTCTTTTTTTATTCTCACCCACTCCAATATGAAAAAGGTGAGCAAAATAAGACAGACTCCAAATTTCGTGTTTGAGTCAATTCTTCTTTCAGAGACATCCTGAAATATATTTATTTTTATTTACCATTTTCTAGGGTAGAAAAAGTTAGAAAAACGTCAGATGGGTGAGTTGGGATGCTCAGAGTATTCTGAGAATTATTTTCATTTTACCCTAAATCTAAAAGGAGCACAGGGATTCTGCACAACAAAGAAAGCCATCAAAAAATGAAAAACCTACCTATGGAATGGGAGAAAATATTTGCAAAACACATATCCCATAAGTGATTAAAATCTAAAATATGCAAGGAATTCACACAACTCAAGAACGTAAATAACCCAATTAAAAAGTGAGCAAAGGACCTAAAGAGACATTTTCCAAAGTAGCACAGGGAAATATCAGTAGGGTTTTACCTAATAATAACTAAGCTTTGCAACACTGAAACAACTGGGAGCTTGAAAGCGGTACAAAAATCAGAACAAAAATATCTTATCATCACCTTTACTTTCTGCCCTTTTTACTTTCTCACTTTAAATTTCTGGTGGAAAGGAAACCTAGGTGAAATTTACATTTTAAAGAAAAATGCATATTATGCCATGGATTGTGACATCAAGACCTTTTACTCACCGTCTTTGCATTTGCCAATATCTAGCACACCATATAAGGTACAATTTTTGGAGATAATTTTTTCTGTGCAGAAACAGTGGTTGTCTGGATTTTGAAGTGGAGATGCAAAAGCCAAGGATGGAAGGATAAATCTATACACAGGGATTCCTTTCAGATTAATTTCAGCTCCAAACACAGCATAGAATGATCTAAACACAGATAAGAAAGACCTTCATTCTGGAAAACTGAACTTCATTATGGAGATTCTGTTTTTCTTATTTCTAAATTAGAAAAACTGGATATAATCTTGTTAGAATTCTTGCTTAAGTCTTAGGAAAAATGTTCTTGTGATATTTTAAGACACACCAGAACTCAGTACCTGAGTATGAGCTCTTCTTACCTTTGTTTTCAAAAGCTTCTGAGAATAATTTTTGCTTGTGAACTACCGTGGAGTATTTATACTGAGGACATTTCTCAGAGTTAGTTTCCTTTATAGAGTAAATATATGACTTCCTCAAGTCCTCTATTTGTGCCCAGTTTAAATGAAAGAAAATAAAATTTCAATCTTCCACAACTTAATCCTGGAGAGAAGTGCTGCTCACTTCCTAGGGTGTGTGCATGTGGGTTTTGATACATGTCTCCTATGCGCCATCATTTACCAAGTGTCCACCATAACCTCAGCAACGTACTGGAACTCAATACATAATATTTCTAATGGCCAGATAATTCTGTATGAAGAAATGCTACTCTCTTCAATTTTATAGATAAGGAAAATATTCAGAGATATTAAATACTTGCCCACACCACACAGTGTCTAGAAACAGAGCTAGGATGCAAGCATACCAGTGTGGGTGCCAGTGCTTGTGTGATAGCTACTGGACCCCATCAATTTGAAAAGATGCTGTAGTGTCAGCAGAGCACATGAACATAGTTCTGTGACTGTGGTATCACCATCTTGGACATTTTTAAAAATTGAAGTATAGTCGATTTACAGTGTTCTGTTAGTTTCTGGTGTACAGCAAAATGATTCAAATATATGCATATATATTCTTTTTCAGATTCTTTTTCATTATAGCTTATTACAAGATATTGAATATAGTCCCCTGTGCTATAAACTAGGACCTTGTTTATATAGTAGTGTGTGTATATGTTAATCCCAAACTCCTAGTTTCTCTCTCTCCCACTTTCCCCTTCGGTAACTGTAGGTTTGTTTTCTGTGTCTATGAATCTGTTTTGTAAATAAGTTTGTTCATACAATTTTTTTAGATTCCACCTATAAGTGATATCATACACTATTTGTCTTTCTCTGTCTTACTTCACTTACTATGATAATCAGTAGATTCATCTGTGTTGCTGTAAATGTCATTATTTCAGTTTTTTATGGCTGAGTAATATTCCATTGTGTATATATACCAGATCTTCTTTATCCATTCATCTGTTGATGGACATTTAGATTGCTTCCATATCTTGGCTATTGTAAATAGTGCTGCTATGAACATTGGGGTGCATATATATTTTTTAATTAGAGTTTTTGTCTTTTCCAGATATATGTCCAGGAGTGAGATTGCTGGTAACCGTAGTTTTATATTTTAAGGACCCTCCATTCTGTTTTCCATAATTGCTGCACCAATTTACATTCTCACCAACAGTGTAGGAGGGTTCCCTTTTCTCCACACCCTCTCCAGCATTTATTATTTTTAGACGTTTTGACGATGGTCATTCTGGCGGGTGTGAGGTGATACCTCACTGCAGTTTTGATTTGCATTTCTCTAATAATTCGCAGTTTTGAGCATCTTTTCAAGTGGCTGTTCTCCATCTGTATGTCTTCTCTGGAGAAATGTCTATTTAGGTCTTTTGCCCATTTTTTGATTGGGTTGTTTGTTTGTTTGTTTTGACACTGAACTGTATGAGCTGTGTGTATATCTTGGAAATTAAGCCCTTTTGGGTCACATTGTTTGTGAATAATTTCTCCCAGTCTTTATGTTCTCTTTACAGTTTGTTTATGTTTTCCTTTGCTGTGTAGAAGCTTATAAGTTTGATTAGGTCCCATCTGTTTATTTTTGTTTTCATTTCTATTGTCCTGGGAGACTGACCTTAGAAACCACTGCTACGATTTATGTCAGAGAATGTTTTGCCTAGGTCCTCTTCTAGCAGTTTTATGGTGTTGTGTCTTATATTTAGGTCTTTTAGCCATTTTGTGTTTATTTTTGTGTATGTTGTGTGGGTGTGTACTAACTTCATTGATTTACATGCACCTCTCCAGCTTTCTCAATACCGCTTGATGAAGAGATTCTTTACTCCGTTGTATATTCTTGTCTCCTTCGTTGAAGGTGAATTGTCCGTAGATACGTGGGCTTCTTTCTGGACTCTCTGTGCTGTTCCATTGATCCATATGTCTGTTTTTCTGCCAATACCACACTGTTTTGATTACTGTAGCTTTCTGAAGTCTGGAAGGGTTATGCCTCCAGCTTTGTTCTTTTTCCTCACAATTGCTTTGGCAATTCTGGGTCTTTTGTGTTTCCATATAAATTTGATGATTATTTGTTCTATTTCTGTGAAAAATGTCATGGGTAATTTGTTAGGGATCACATTAAGTCTGTAGACTGCTTTGGGTAGTGTGGCCATTTTTACAATACAATAAGTCCCCTACATACAAACCTTCAAGTTGTGAACTTTCAAAGATGCGAACATGCATTCATATGTCCAATCACATAAGTTAGTTCACCTGTGTGGCATACATTGTCATGTGTGTGCATCCTCCACAAGTGGTTGTGCTTTTGTGTACTTTACTGTACACTACTGTATAGAGTACAGTAGTGCAGTATCTGTATTTCAAGCCCAGGATGTCCAAAAGTAAGAGTAAAAGTGGCGGTGGTATGTAGCTGGTACTACTGTACTGTACTGTAAGATTGAAAATGTTTTCTTTATTTTTTGTGTTTGTTTGTTTTTTATGTGTTATTTCTGTGAAAAGTATTATAAACCTATTACAGTACAGTCCTGTATAGCCAATTGTGTTAGTTGGGTACCTTGGCTAACTTTGTTGGACTTACAAACAAATTGGACTTACGAATATACTCTTGGAATGGAACTCGTTCGAATGTAGGGGACTTACTGCATTAATTCTTCCAAGCCAAGTGCATGAGATATAGTCATTTATTTGAATCATCTTCAGTTTCCTTTATCAATGTTTTATAGTTCTCAGTGTAGGTCTTTCACCTCCTAGGTCAGGTTTATCCCTAAGCATTTTTTGGATGTGATTTTGAAAGAAATTGGTTTTTTACTTTCTATTCTATTTCATTGTTAGTGTAAAGAAATGCAACAGATTTCTGTATGTTAATCTCATATCCTGCTACCTTGCTTTTGTGTGGAGTTTTTAGGGTTTTTCTATATAGAGTATCATGTGATCTACGTATAATGAGAGTTTTACCTCTTCCCTTCCCATTTGGATACCTTTGATTCTTTTTCTTGTCTGATTGCTGTGATGGGGACTTCCAATACTGTGTTGAATATAAGTGGTGACAGTGGGCATGCTTGTCTTGTTCCAGAATTTAACAGGAAGGCTTTCAGCTTCTCATTTTTGAGTATTATGTTGGCTGTGGGTTTCTAATAAATAGCTTTTATTATGCTGAGATATGTTCCCTGTATACCCACTTTGGTGAGAATTTTTATCATGAATTGATGTTGAATTTTATCAAATGATATTTCTGTATCTATTGAGATAATCATATCTATTGTGACATTTTGTCTTTTCTTTTGCTGATGTGGTGTATCTCATTGATTGTTTGCCTATGTTGAACTATCCTTGTGGCCCCAAAATGAATCCAATTGATCATAGGGTATGATTCTTCTTATATATTGTTGGATTCAGTTTGCTAATATATTGTTGAGGATTTTTTCATCTATATTCATCAAAGATATTGGCCTGTAATTTCTTTCTTGGTAATGCCTTTGTCTGGTTTTGTTATCAGGTTGGAGGTGACTTTATAGAATAACTTTGTGAGTGTTCCCTCCTCTTCAATGTTTGGAAGAGTTTGAGAAGGATCGGTATAAGTTTTTCTTTGTATGTTTAGCAGAATTCCCTAGTGAAGCCATTCAGTCCTAGACTTTTGTTTGCAGGGAGGTTTTTTGTTTGGTTGTTTGTTTTATTACCAATTCTATTTTACTTCTAGTGATCAATCTGTTCAAATTATCTATTTCTTCTTGATTCAGTTTTGGTGGGCTGTATATTTCTAGAAACTTGTCCATTTCTTCTCAGTTGTCCAATTTGTTGGCATTTAATTGTTCACAGTGTTCTCTTATGATTTTTTGTGTTTCTGTGGTATCAGTTGTTATTTCTCCTTGTGCCTTTCTTATTTTGTTTATCTGAGTCCTCTCTTTTTTCTTCTCTTTTTTTTCTTGGGCAGAATTTTGTCGCTTTTGTTTATCCAGCTCTTGATTTTTTTTCTATTATTTTTTTAATATCTATTGTATTTATTTCCTCTCTGATCTTTATTATTTCCTTCCTTCTGTGCATTTTAGGCTTTGTTTCTTCTTCTTTTTCTAATCCTTTTAGGTGGTAAGTTAGTTTATTTGAGATTTCTCTTGTTTTCTGAGGAAGACCTATATTGCTGTAAACTTCCCTCTTATGACTGCGTTTGCTGTGTCCCATAGATTTTGTATGGTTGTATATTCATAGTTGTTTTTCTCAAGGTACTTTTAATTTCCTTTTTGATTTCATTGTTGACCCATTGTATTTTTAGTAGCATGTTGTTTAGTCTCCATGTAATCATTATTTTCTCATTTCTCTTTCTGTGGTTGATTTCTAGTTTCATGCCATTGTGGTCAGAAAAGATGCCTGAAATAATTTCTAACCTCTTAAATTTGTTGAGGCTTATTTTGTGTCCTAGTATGTGGTCTACCTTAGAGAATATTCCATGTACACTTGAAAACAATGTGTAGTCTGGTTATTTGGGGTGTAATGTTTTGACAATATCAATTAAGTCTAACTGTTCTATTGTGTCATTTAGGATCTCTGTTGCCTTATTGATATTCTGTCGTCTGTCCATTGACGTCTGTGAGGACTCTGTGAGCACATTGAGAATGAGGTTGCTCAGGTGGAGCCACGCCTCACTGTTTTACTAGTTTAGTAAGAGAAAAGAAATGTTCTTGCTTAGAAATGAAGAAGGAGAAAATGATTTTCGTTATGCAAAGTATCCTTCTACAACCTTCA